ATTTATAGCAAGATTTCCTGATAAACAACCTCCTCATTGCATTACATGTAGAAATTTGTTGAATAAGTTATAATGAATATTTCGTTCATACTTACCAGCTTCCACAAATTATTGTTAGACCATAGCAACTAATTTAATGACTTATTTATATCACTTTTTTATGATGACTATACTTGATTTTTTAAATTCAGATCTGTTCTGCATTAAAAAGTAGTAAGACTTTACAAACACTCTGTACATTTTCCACTGTATCCAACTTCACAAACTGTTTGACCTCAATGAATCTACTCTTGAGACTTGACAAAACTACACTCTCGTTGCTTTTATTTTGGTTGTATTAGATGATCATATATTAATATGTGTGCAGTAATTGCTGTCTGTATTCGCTTGTTGATTGTTCACATTCAGTTCATATTATCTTCCCTCCATTATACATATCTTGCCACTGTTGAATATTTCACAACGTATACACTCATTTCAAACATTCTGTTATTGTTTTTGTATTTTTTTTTAACAATGTTTACTCTGTAAATTGTGGTCCTCATGCACTTTTAATAGAAACATAAAGATACAAGCACAGCTGAAAGAGATGAAGCCTTATTACAAATTTAAAAAAACAGAGCCTTGTGATGAATCTTTGGACCCATCAAAGATGCAAACAGCAGGGAATGGAGAGTGAGTAGCAGGAGCGAAATTTATAATCTGTTTAAACCAATATTTATCACTTGCATCATGAGAGCTAATAGACTGAAATCGCTAGGGCATATTGAGAGAATGTCAGATGACAGAGAAGTAAAAACTGTATGCACAATGAGGCTGAATGATCGTAGACCACGAGGCAGACCAAGAAGACAATGGAGAGATAATATCCAGACAGACCTACAAACACTTGGTGTCACCAGCTGGAAAGAGAAGGCCAACCAGAGAGATGAATGGAGGTGGGTGATATCTGCAGCAATGAACCTCAAGGGCTCAGAATGCTGTAGAAGAAGATATAAAGGTAATTCCAACTAAAAATCACAGTGCCAGGTTGCAAATTTTGTTCATGTTAAACAAAATCGCAGTGCCAGGTTGCAAATTTTTTTCATGCTTAATAAAATTGCAGTCTTAGGTTGCAAATTTTGTTCATGTTTAACAAAACTGCAGTACTATGTTACAAATTTTGTTCATGTTTAACACAGTCACAGTCCTAGGTTGCAAATTCTGTTTATGTTTAAAATCACAGTGCCAGGTTTGCAAATTCTTTCCATGTTTAGCATCACAGTGCCAGGTTGCAAATTTTGTGTGTGTGTTCAACAAAATCACAGTAGTATGTTGCAAATTGTGTTCATGTTTAACATCATCACAGTGCCAGGTTACAAGCTTTGTTCATGTTTAAGAAAATCAGTGGCAGACCCCCCCCCCTACTGTTATTCAGATGGCTTATACAGCTATTAAAATGGCTTGGGCTGTTATTCATAAGGGTGTAGTGTTTCTTTAAGATTGTTCTTATTACTGTTATTCTGTTGTTTGCATTGTCATCAGCTTGCTCTGTGTTCTTTATATTTCTTCAGCCTGGTTTTCTGTGACAGTTAATACCAGGACATTCTTGTCAGATCACCAAACGATCTCATCTCTTGCTTTTGAATAAACTGTATGATGTGGTTTCAGTTCCTAGTCTTCTGATTTCTTCCTTTTTCATTTGACCTCATTTTGTAGCTGCGACACGCTCCCATGCAAATCAGACGGTCGTGGGTTCAGTTCCTGACAAAAAGATCTTGGTTCCAGATCAACCCAGTCTTAAAGGTAAAGTCCTGGGAAGTGAAGGCGGCTGACCACATCACCACCAAGTGCTGACTAGTCTCAGGTCTAGCCCTATACATCCGGAACGCCTGAAAAAAAGGTCCTTTACTTTTTACTGCGACATCTGTTCTAAACAAATCTCAACTCTGATACGATTTTGCAGTGATTAGTTTTGGTAAGGGTCCGTCCATGTTGGCCAAAGAAAAAGTGGTAGACAGGGGTAGACTTCTAAATGTCAGAGCTGTTGTTTCAGTACCAGATTTTGTGTGGGTGTGTAGCACATCATAGTTTTATAATGATGGTTCATAATAGGTGCTTTCCAACTGTGCTTCATAAAACATAACTTGTATGTGGTTTATAACCGTGGTTAATAAGTTCTTTACTTATAATTAAGATTTAAGCCTGTTTTATATCTGCATTGTTTCAGTATGTGAATACTATACTTAATTCTTTTACAGAATGATAAAACTATGCTGTATACAAAAATATACTGTCATGTTTGCTGTTAGACTGCTTTGTTAGTGTTTTCATGCCTTCAGTTGTATTTTTATTTGAATATGTAATATGTAGATTGTGTCGGAAAAACCTGTATAAGATGATGCAGAATAGTCGCAAGGTTCCAAAAGATAGGTTTACCTCTGATTTCAGGTCACAGTTAATTAAAATACTCATATATTTTTATGCCAGTTTCTTGTGATTTGTTAATTGTAGATATTTCTGCACGGGGTGAGGGCCCTTTGGGAGCCAGTGAACCGTGCGGAGGCACAAATAGATCATTACGATCTGAGGAGAATGGCGCTGCAGGGGAGTTACCAGGGAGATGACTGTCGCTCAGCGCTCAAGAGAAAGGCGAGACAGATGAACAGTCAGACAGTTACCGGTACCATCGGAATTGGAACTCTGCATGCTGCTGGAGATGGGGATGGAGCACTTTTGGGAGTGTCCAGAGTGCTGTGATTTTGATTCTTAATTCAACACTGTGTACAGTATCATTTTTTCCTATCTTCTTGACACATAAAGATTTCACTATTCAGCTTTTGGAGCCTCAAGGTTCACTCCTGCCATGATTGATCCCTTTGACTGGCCCTTGTTTTCCATCTCTCCACCATCTTCTTGGTCGGTCAAATAAACATTAGTCACCCCCCACAGAGTAGGTCACATTCCATTGATAACTTTGTTTGACTGGTCTACCGTGCTGGTGGTTATGGGTGTGCCGCTTTGTTGTTAGCTATCTGGGTTGTCTTGAATTTTCTTTTTTAAATCAGAGGAGGAGAATGCTTGTGACATAGGTTTCATCACTTTCTTAAGGGGCCGTGTGTAAGGCCCAGTTTGTCGATGTTTTTGGAGTGTTAAAAGCGCTGACATGATGAAATATACAACGGCATTGCAGAGCACCCCCCTGACCTTGAGCTAAGGACGTGTGGCTCCAGGCCGACCAATCAGAGGTGAGATAGGCTGAACGTCAACTAATCAGAAGTGAGCTAGTGTGTATATGGGCAGTCCGTGGGGAGACCAATGTTACTGTTACCTCTTGGTCTGCCTTGTGATCTCCACAGCCATTCAGCTTGTGTTTACACAGTTTTCGTCTCTGTGTTATCTGGCATTCTATCAGCCTTAACCATAAAAATCTGTTAGCCCTTCTTAGTCGAGGTTTCAACTTCACTTTAATTGGGTTTCTCCATACTTGCTGTTCCCCTGCCAGTACAAATCAAATGAAATGCCCCTCACTGTCTCATTTGGAAAACTGGTGATCAAACAATTAGTTGCAGAACAATTCACAAATATGCTCAAGCAGTAAGTGCAAATTTCAGTTGCCAGAGGCACCAAAGCCGACAGTTGCCACCAGAAATGCAGTTTGTCGATGGAAGTAGTCGGGCACAATAAGTTGGCTATACACACGTGGAATTATTACATAAGATGTTTAACCAGCTCACATGTAAACCGGCTACCAGCCATATTGAATATGACACAACCCCTGTACAATTTAAAGGCATTCAACATAAAAAACAGCTCACAGGGCTGCACAGGCAACAAAACCGTATATTACCGTCCTTATGTGGAAACTGCATTAAGCAAAGCGCTGTCAGAAGCAAAAATAACTTTGAAGCTTAACACTCTGCCATGCCTAATCCTCTATTTCAGACCATAAGTCATACCAGTAATTAGAGGTGTTAACCCAGATGAAGCATTTTTTTTGCTGCTTCCCACTCTTCATTCTGCGCTGTAAACATCTTTGAAGGGTCCAAAGATTTGTCATCAGACTCCGTTCTCAAAGGTTTGTAATCAGGCTTATTGATCGCCAGGTTTCAGAGCCAAATAGAACAGTTTGGCCATGTAACAAAATTGACATCAGACAGGGCACCACAAAGCGCAATGTTATACAGACATTGAAAAGTACTGTATGTGAAGCGAACACAAGGGCCCATTCCGGCTCTGATGCTGTGAGGCATTCTAAGAATAGTGAAAAGAAGATAGAACAGTTGTTCTGATCAGTGTGTCACATACTGTTATCTTGGTGTTATGAGATACCGCATTTGATTTTAGCAGGTGACACAAGAACAAGTTGAAAAGACAACATCAGAGAAACTCTACAACAGCATCATGTGTCTATGGCTGAGGTGACCAGAAGAGCAAGAAGCAGAACCTTATATCTCCCTCCACACCTGGGCGGTAAAAGAGGAAGTGAAGAAGATGACACATGGATAAAAAAAAAATCTGTCTTAAAATTGTATCTATAAACAACAAAGATACTGCATACAGGAACTCTTTCTAACATTTTATTGACATACAAAATCCAGCAACTAGACAAATTAACGTTACGTGCCATCTGAATTCTTCTTCTCATCACCTCATCAATCCAGCAGCTTTGGCCTCTCTCATAAGTGTTCATTTTAGGGTTTCTTTTGAACATCCTCGCTTCTTCAATCCCTTTGTTTTTGTGCCTGTCTGGTGATTCTCTGTTCAATTATTCTCAGGATGTGTTCAATACAGCGCCATTTTCTCTGTTAACCAATGTTTGCCCAGACATTTCTCTTATTTCTTCACTCCTCCTTAATTCAGCCTATTTTATGTTCAACGCTTTCCTCAAGCATTCGTTTTCAAATGCTGTTAATTTTCGTTTCATGTCGTCTACTTTAGGCGCTGATAATATCAAATATGAATAATAATACAGCATATTCACATAATTTAACATTCACATAATTTAACATTCACAAGCGTTAAAATGCAAAAGCTTCTGCCTCGGCATCCAGGTTAGTTCCTGACAGCATGGACTTGGGGTTCTCCATCACGTTGCGGAATTCCTGCAGCCACTGTGTGGCTTCTATCTCGCTGATAGCTCGGCTGTCGTACGACATGGTCACCGTCATTCGGTGCCGGTTGCCGTTCATAGTTGCCACAGGACGTGAGGTGCCTACAGCGAGAATGGCGATTTGTGGTGGGTTTATGACGGCTGTGAATTCTGAGATTCCAAACATTCCTAGGTTTGAAATGCTGCGAGAGAGAGAGAGAGAGAACATGAGTTTAGACATGGTTTTCAACCACGATGGAAAACTGGACAGAAATTAGCTCGAGATGTGCTAAAGCTAATCACTATCTCTCCTGTTGACACACAAGCAGATACCCTGGAGTACTAAAGTGAATCTTATCACAACTATTTTCTGGTCAACATTATGCTATCAGTGCTAGACATGAACATTTACATCCTCTAATGAACATAAAATTGTGACAACAGAGATGTAGTTTCAATAAAACACAGAATACAAAATCATAAAATATGACAAATGCTAGGCATAAAGCCAGTCTTACAGGTCATCAAAGAAACAAATGAAGTGGTCTGGACACCTAACAAGAATGCCCTGGTACTATCTGCCACAGCGAGCCACACTGAAACGTTACAAAACTTTACAACGGGTATACAACAAGCAGAAGACATCAGAAAAGATAGTGATGGAATTAGGAACAGCCTTACAGAAAGCAACATCAATCTTAATAGTGCTCTTGACTGACAGAGCTCATCAACGACACTTCACTGAGGTACAAGGTGGAAGAGAAAAAGAAGAGGTTTTTAACCCTGGGGCGTACAAAGAAGTTTGAAACTGAGTCCATTTGTACACGCTTTCTGTGGATGTTTTTCTTCAAGTTCTTGCTTGGATTTTCACTTTTTGTCCTCTGCTTTTTAATCACTTTAAAAAAAAAGGAGGGGTGGAGGGGGTGTCACCCTGCTATATATAATTAAGAGAGTGCGCCACCTGAAAAACCCGGCAGAGACCTAGCCAAGTGTGCTGTATAAATGATCTTTCAGATCTCCAGCCTGCAAATTTTCTGAATCTTCAACATTTCGACCTTGCTCACAGAATACAAGAAGACTTCAAATTAAAACAGTTAAAATGTGACATAAACAGCAACAACAATGCCACTGTTTTGTAACTGTCAAAACGGTTGGTAAGGATGTCAAGAGTGTTAAATACATGTCCTCAAGCTTGGTTCATTTGCCAATGAATTTATTCAGGAAGGCCATTTTTAAACAGTCATTATGATGTCACTGTGTTCATACGTACCAAAATGTCACTTGCTTAACTCTTGACATCCCAGCTCACTAGCGTAGTTGGTTAAACCTGACGTCGTGGCGACCGGGTAATGAGCTCCTTGCGGTCCGGGTTCACTCCCGGGGGTAGGCAGAAAAGCCACATTTCTCCCAGATTTACGATACCTATCGTGAAATCAAGGTTGAAGGGTTGCGATATCCATAGTACCGAGCCAAAGTTTTTAAACTCATGGTTTCTGGATACTTAAATTTAAAAAAACTCTTGACATCCTTAACAAAAACACAGTTAATGTGTCTCACCTGAAGCTGCCTCCCTGGAACTCATGGAGCTGCAACTTTCCATCTCTAGCCTTTACAGCCAACTCCTGAAACACAGGTATGTTCAACCAAACTTCATCGGCAACACAAAAGTAACAATGTGTATTCAACTTCCCCGTGTCGATTCTGGGGCCCCATTGTGTGTGTGTGTGTGGTGGTGGGGGGGGGGGGGGGGGGAGAATAGACCCACTGTCTGCCCAACAAGCAGGTCATAGAGGTCGACTAATTGGAAGCTTCCTTCAAAGTCGAAGAGCATCTGACTGTGGCAAGGAACAACCAACTGCACACAAATAATCCAGTAAAACAGATCTATATGTAAAACTTAGGCCCTGGCACAAAGCCAAAAGGATGAACCGCCAGGACTTTTCGGCAGAGCTTACAGCCAGTGAAGAAAGAAGAAGAAGAAGCATTCAAACATTCTCAATACAAGTGTTGCACCATCATCTTCTTCTGTGTGTATTTGCCTTCCATGTTTCAAAGAAGTACTAACCCTGTTGCCTCAGATTTCCTACTTTTATGGTTGTTTGATTACACAATGTCTGTGGGCAATGATGAAAAAGGTTAAAGTTAAAAGATTAAAGTCGACTTTATTGCAGCAGGTTTTATCCCATTTGGCTAGGTCTCTCTCCGCAGAATGGCTAGCCGCCACAAAGAGCATGACCTCTGTAGCTCCGGCAATGATCCCCAGGGATCTCCATAAAAACTGCACTTGTGAACTGATCGATGCCCCCGTGAAACCCCCGCAACCTTCAGAAAAGCTGAGAATATAAAGTTGCAGAACCAACCCCAGCATTTTTTGGCTGTTGTGGTTTTTCTAGGCAAGTTTACGCCCAGTAGTTTGCCACTGCTTTCTGGAGGGTCTGGTTCTCGATACTGCTGTCGAAACCAACGCAAGGTCCACAACTGGGTTGAAATCCGGCACTACGAAGCGTCTAAGCCACAGATGCAGGATGCACATGGCTTGACCACTTTGCCACGGAGACCCCTTTGCATTAAATAAGTATCTTCATTTACCCTTGATGCTTTTGCACGCTTACCTTCTATTCACTAAAAACAAAACATGTACCTACCTTCACTGTTCTGCTGATCTGGTCCACTGTAAGATAAGTTGCCCCTCTGACAATGGGAGTGATCAGACCATTTGGTGTTGCCACGGCTACTGAAATGTCCACTGTCTGGCTCAGCTGGGGTCCTTCGTTTGCCCAGATGGCATTCACCCGAGGCACTCGCTGCAAGCAACCACAACAATCACACATTCAAACAAGACTCATTTCAAATTTTTTTTTAAAAAGCACACACACAAAAAAAATGTACATACCAAATTTGTTTATACTATAAGCTTTTATTACACAATTTGCATATAATAAGTGCACACAAAAAAATAATAATTTACCACATGGTAAATTAAACACAATAATTTCACAAAAACATTTTACACCAAATTTTTACTAGGTGCTTTGTGTTTTGTTCAACCTATCCCCCTGACTTCGAGAGTTGCTGGGGAGTTCCTGGGGAAAGTCCAGTGTATATGGGCGTTACAGTAGGAAATGAGCACCCTAACTCTAACCCTGCAGATACTGGACCTTTCGCCAGGAACGCTTAGATTCCCTATGATAGCGCTTTGTATTGTATGTATGTCATAGAATGAAAACACAAGTTTAGCTAATTATCTGTAAAAATAAATAGTCATCTACAATTTTATAACAAGTCTAATTAAAATAAGTGTAGGACACCCCCATATGATATATGTATAGATAATAACTAAATAAAAATACGAATGATAGTTAACATGTGACATGTTGAGTTGAGTAATATAAAATGTTATTTACGTGCCTGCCACCTTTACTTCCCAGGACTTTACCTGGTACCGATTTTAGGCTGGGTCCAGAATATATACAACATACTACTTACTCTGAATGTTACCAGTGTATCAGACAAGAGGCAATTTTTCTGTTGAGCAAGTTAATATAATTCTTCAGGACTTTGTGTATCTATTTCCCTGAGTGCCCCCAAAGTTTGAGCACATAGGCACAAACATATATTTTCAAGACTGTTGAATTAAGAATCAACATTATAGAGCTTAAGACACCTCAGCGCTCAGTCCTCAGCAGAAACAGAAGAGTTCCTATTTCAATAGTTCCAATGTACAATCGTCTCGTCTTTCACTTGAGTGCTGAGTGTCAACCAGATCCCCATAGCGCCACTATCCTCAGACTGTAATGATCTATTTGTGCCTCCTCACTGTTCACTCACTCCCAACTGGACCTCACAACATCTAGCTTGTCATACATCAATTTACCACCAAGTGGTGCAGAGCTAGCCAGTCTATCTGCCTGCTCATTTCCTAACACACCAACACTACTTGGAGAAAATATCCAAAGGACGCTAACCACCCGGGACCTCTAAAGCCATGCTTGCCACTCCGCACAAAATATGCCTGTCTCCAGCTTTCTCAAAATACCCTGTGAGTTGGTTATAATCATGACATGTGTGTACAGCTGATTCTCAATCCAGCAGAAGGCAGCAGTGACTGCCTCTACATCCATTCTCAAACTAGACATTGTGATAGCATGTTGTACTAAGCGATGTCTATTTGCTTTTGCTACGAACCTTCTTGCATTTAAATCAATGAAATATTAATAACTTTATAAAAAGTTAAGTAAAGATCCCTTTTCATGCCTTTAGGCGCATCGGGCATATAGGAAGAGCACCCATATTTTTACATACCGTTCGGCACTAGGTGGGTAATGTGGTCAGCTTTACATTGGTCATCTTTCCTTTCCAAGTACATACATTCTGATATCCAGGTCGACTTGCAACGCCCTATACCATGATTAAAAAAACCCACGCAGCCAGCAATGAGTTTCGATCATAGTACACTGGAATTACGAGTTGGACTTGCAATGCCTAAGCCACGGAAGCTGCTTAATAACATTATATACAACTGAAATATTAAATAAAGTCTTCAATATGATTTTCATCATCTGCGATGCAAAGGCTGAGGTGCTGTGCAAATTTTACGTGAACTCTATGTTATAAACCCACTTTGCCGTTAATTTTAGCACATTTACACATTATTTCCTAGCCACCAGACTTTAGAGACATCATTAATATCTCACTGCAGTAGATACTAAAACATGGAACAGCAGCAAAACCCAATCTATTCTTCAAACATCAGAGATTCAATCAAGACCCGACAACAGTTTACCTGTAGGGCCAACGCTGCAGCCTTGATGATGAAATCATTGACCGAAACCTTGATCCCTTCGTTTGTCAATGTCTTCCTCAGTTCCGTGACAGCTCCGACGTCCGATTCAATGGAAGCATAAGCATGGGGAATTGTTGTCTAGAAATTATAAATTAAAAAAAATGGCTAATTTTTTTTTTAATTTTGAAAAGTTTTAAATCAATTATTAAATAGTTACAAACATTCCATAACTAGCACCTGGTCAGAATAGAGAGATAAAAATAATGGCAGAGTCACTAATGTCAAGTTGGGTACAGAACTACACAAATTCCAAATAATCAAGAGGTGAAATCTTTGGAATTTGCATCTTCTTCTTCGCGTTTACCAGCTGTAAACTCCGGTGGAAAGTCCAGGTTGTTTGTGACTTCTGGACTTTAGTCTTTTTCCAGAACTTGAGTTCTGACTGTACATCTGATCTGGCTTATTTGTATGCAGACTGCTGGTTCCTTGCCTTGCAGCCAGATGCACTCCAACTTAAGGAATAATGAAGGAAAAACGCAGGAGAATAAAAAAGATAATTACATATTTTATTATAAAACTGTACAATGTTAAGAACTATTCTGTAAATGAAGAAATAAAAACCAGTTGTAACCTTAGATTCGGTCAGTCGCCTGGCAATAGTTCGTCTCATGTTGGTCAGTGGAATATCTACATAGTTGGCAGAGGCAGGTGAAGATGCTACAGGTGTCTGCACTGGTTTGCTTGAGCTGGGACTCTGTGCCGGGCCTGCAGCCCTTTGATCGACCCTTTTCAAATTTTTGGCTGTTATGTAATCAAGAACATCACTGAAAACAAGATTGTAAACAATATTTACTACTTCCTGCGTAGACTAGTTGCTAGGTTTTGTAAATAACACTGAGTAAAATGTATGGTGCTTTCTTAATATCCTACCCCAAACAGAGGAAAGCCGCAGGTCGCGGGGCAGTCTAATATTTCAGGGGGTAGTAGATAGACTGCATGCAGTAATGGGACCTAGGCTGCATGCAGTCGTGGGACCTATGCTGCACTCGCTCGTGGGACGCATGTAGGTTTGGATTAGGGCCAGTTCCAGATGTTTTGAGGTCATTAAAAGCCTCAGAAAGCCAGGAAACCCAGTCTTAACCCCCCCCCCCCCCTTTAAATGTTGGACTGTCCTGTGACACCATCTTGGGTAGGATATTATGAAAGAACCAAACGTACTACAACTGAGTGTTGTGTGGAGGAAAAATGTGCGGTCCAGCACGTAATTAGTGGCAGCTGCTACTGTCATTGAATCAACTGTTTGTGTCGATTCATCAACAGCAAAAACAAATGGCTGAAACATATTCTGTTTCTGGCGGCAGCTTTCAATGAGTTTGCTCTCTAACAGCCATAATCAAAACACTGCGAACACAGCGCGGTCAAGTCTGACAAATCTATCAGTCACCATCACACTTCGACATAGCACAACCACAACACATGCTGCTGCCTTGAAAAACACCAAGTATCCTGCACTGGAAATGTGAACAAAGCAGCCATACATGTCAAGGAAACAGAACAATCTGAGAGATATCACAGCAACTGAAAAATAACGCAGCTGCTCATCGCCCTTTTGAAAACAGAAGTGCTAATGTCATTCTGTGTGAGTCATACCATTTAATTTCACCTTTTTGGGAGCCCAACTGACTTCATACTGGCTCTTTAAATGCAGAACCTGTGATAAATTCAGTGTCACTGCATTCTATCAGGATGCCCCAACCATGTGAGCTACATCTCAATAAGTCTAACACAATGACACAATCTGTCAAACAGAGTCATTTCTCATTTGATCTTGTATGCCTACATTGGTGGCTTTCCTAAGACATTTCATCTCACAAGAGGAACATAAGAAGAGCAACGAATATCACAAGTGTTTTTTAATTGCGGCAGACAATATTTATATATTAGACAACAAACTTGTATACAGAGCATTCTCTCACTCTCTCGAACAAGCTGACTACTCTCTCTCTCTCTTCCTCTATTAATCTTTCCCACCCTTCCTTTCTCTATTAATCTTTCCTACCCTTCCCCTCTCTCTATTATTTTTTCCAACCCTTCCCCTCTATAATTTTTTCCCCACCCTTCCCCTCTCTCTCTATTAATCTTTCCTACCCTTCCTCTCTCTTTCTATTAATCTTTCCTACCCTTCTCTCTTTCTCTATTTTTTCCCCACCTTTCCTTTCTCTCTCTATTATTTTTTCCCACCCTTCCCCTCTCTCTTTCTCTATTAATCTTTCCCACCCTTCCTCTCTCTTTCTATTAATCTTTCCTACCCTTCTCCTCTCTTTCTCTATTTTTTTCCCCACCTTTCCTCTCTCTCTCTCTCTACTATTTTTTCCCACCCTTCCCCTCTCTCTTTCTCTATTAATCTCTACCACCCTCCCTCTCTCTCTCTCTCTCTACTAATCTCTCCCACTCTTCCTCTCTTTTATCTCTCTTTCACACCGTATCCAATGTCTCACTGGAGGTGCGATAAAGAATTCCTGTACGTTAACCAAGAATTTAGAAGCTGTGGTTTTATACACAAATGATAAGAATACCCTGGACAGATAAAAAGAGTAATGAGGACGTCTTGAGAGAAACTGACTCACGAAAAGAACTGTTTGCCCACATTAGAAAGAGACAATCAACATTCTTTGTTCATGTAATGAGGAGAAGAAAACAATAGGAAAGTTGGAGGGTTGGGGAGGCTCAGGGAGACCGAGAGAAGAGATGCTGGACAGTTGGACATCATGGCATGGAGAATCATCTGTGTCAGAGTTGACTGGAAGTACACGAGACAGAAGGTTGTGGACAGACATGACTTCCAATGCCACATAGCATGGACTTTAAGAAGCAGAAGAAACATGAACCAATTGAGACCTATGGCTGTGAATCAAAAGATCTGTGTATAAGATAAACATTTCTGGTAGTAAGGCTTTGTTTCCTCTTTATCCAAGGGTTAAAGGGAAATTTTTAAAATAACAAAGAAACAACACAAAATCAGGCATCTAAAACATAAGAATGACAGTACAATACCAGAAGAAATAAATCATAAAGGAAAATCCCAATAAAGAAGGAAAGAAAGTATGGAGACGAAAAAAAAAATAGGTGGAAAACACAAAGTATAAAGAAATGACAAAAGAAACAAAATGTAAAGAAATAAAGAAAGAGAGAGAGAGAGAGACAAAAAAAAAGTGAAAGAAAACAAGCCTACCCTTTCAACAAGACACCAGACCGCCCTGTGGCTGGTACAGCAGATGACTCAATGTTGTACTCATGCAGCAATTTCTTCACTGACGGGCCCATCAGGTGGCTGGTGGAAAGAAACATTCATGAATATGTAATCTAATAAAAGCTGCTTTGAAAAAAAAACTTTTTTTTAAAGTTGGTGCCGACACCACTAATTGACTACAACATCAGCACCAACACTTTTAAAACCACAAAACTAGCACTTCCCCATAAAAGCCACTTTCCCGACTCACTAGAGAGACATGTTGACTAGACATCCAGCTAACAAAATTCACTGTATCTGTGCAAATGTTTAGAGTGACACATGATGACAACATTTACTAAAAATAGCATTTACAGGTTTTCCTTTTAAAAATGACCTTATTTGAAGAAATTTCTACATCATATTTCCCCCCACTTCAGTGGTTACCTGGCAACTGTGTCACAGGTTCAAATGTCACGCTATAATTAGTTCACAGACCCCCAAGAGATGTTAGCCAGATGATTCTATGCTGCATTTGTTTTTATTGATTACTAAAAGTACTCTGTATACTATTTGTTTATGGTTTCAAAGATTAAGTGATTCTGCACAATTTATTTTTTGGGTGACATGTAAAATGCTTGCATTTGTAGGGACTTTCCCTGGAATATCCTAAAAATCAAAAGTACAGGAGCTTGGCTTTGTTTTTTTTCTTGGTCACTGGGGTCAGAGGGTTAACAGATCCTCTGATGAAACCTTGTCTACTATAGACTGCTTACTGCAGAATTACCTATGCCAGCCCCGGCGGCACACTGCTGTCATACTAGGTAATGGACTCGAAGGTCAGTGTCTAGGGTCGACGGATTTCAACTGAGTTAAAGTATTCATGAATAAAAACATCAAATCCTCAATTTGAAAACATTAGGCCTTGAAAAGGTCAACTATACTTCCAAGGAGTCCACCCGGCAACCACTGTAGACTGGGCCACACTGGCAGCCAAGGTCAATTATGTGTCTGCTACCTTTACCTTAAAATCAGAGGGAAACTTTGTTCACCGTAAACTGTTGCGTATACGTTAATTTTTAGACCTACCAAAAAAGATATCGGATGTGTTAGTTAAGTACAGGCCTAAGTCACAATTCTGAGCTAAAAATCTTCAGGTCAACTAGTACACTAGCTTCTTCTCCTTCGTTCTCCGGCTTTAAGCTCTGGTGAAAGTCCTGGTTGTTCGTACGCTGGGATTGTGGCTTTGTGCCAGAGCCTGAGTTTTACATGTACATCCATTTTACTGGCTTATTTGTGGGCAGCTGGTTGTTCCTCGCTGCATGGGCAGATGCTCTCCGACTTGGAAGGAAGTCCCCAGTTAGTCGACTCCTACGAATTGCTAGTTTGGGAGGCAGTGGGTTTATTCTCGTTTTCCCCACAATGGGGCCCCGAAACCCACACGGGGAGTACACCGGCTTGACTTGTACACTGTAATTTACATAACTTACAACCATCTTAGCAGCAACAGAGAGATCTGAACCTCATACAGACACAGGACATGCATACCTATGTTCCACAGTAGCCACTGGTTGTGGTTTTCCCACTGGTACAGTGGTTGGAGCTGAGGCAGCAGCAGCAGCAACAGGCTGAGGCTTAGCACCTGCATCTGCAGGGATTTGAACACTCTTCCAGTCATCCCCTTCCTCCACCAAGAGGGCAATGAGACTTCCAACAACCACATCCTTGCTGTTGTCTGGGGCCTGAAAGAGAATTTTAACCAAATCTTAATGAATCAAGAAATGAAGAAAAAATGCTGGATAGGAAACACACACATTACCAATACAGTAATTAAAACTTCTTTCCTCTGGATGCCAATGTCAAGAGAATATCAGAACATGTGCCTAAATGGCTTCACAAACAACTCAAAAGGGAGCCTGTGTCAAGATCAACCAAGATGATAGAACTAAATTCTTTGATAGGATGTCATTTACTTGACTTTGGGCATGTAGTCAACAAGGATTTCCTTTCAGAATTACTCACCACCCACAGATAAGATGTCTATTAAAAAGCCAAGGCCCAGTCAGGAAAAAATAAGTTCCTCCTGTTTTATGTAAACCAAAAGATCACGTCATAAATTTAAAGTTACCATGGCAATAACACGGCTGATCCTTAATTTCCAGTGGAGAAATCTACAGCCTAACTTTGCAGTATGAATTTTTTGTTTAAATGTATTTAATTGAAAAGGATTAATTGTGTATGCTTCATGATATGCTGATTTCACTCTGTAGTAACGCAACTGATGAGATACGGTGAAATATGCCAGGCAATAAACTGTGCAATGGGTTCTCTGTGCCTGCATTATTTAAATCTAAAATGGGAAAACACTGTTTTGAAAGTAGAAAGAGGCCCAAAAACATATGAAAAGAAGAATTAGAGGCAAGAGATGTCAAACAAATAGAGTAGTGTGAAAAGCAAAATAGTCACTAAACCAGCTGTTCTCAAGCTATGTTTCTAGGAACCCAAAGGGCTCAGTGTGCACTTTCCATAGGCCCCCATGGCTGCTTCAGGAAAATTAATACAATTAAAGATTAGGAAACAAACAAACAGTAGAATACAAAAAGAAAACAAGAAATTGATTTCAGAACGAAAATTTGCCAATTTGAATATCATGCCTTCTCTGGCAAACTTGGTTACTCTGCTAATACTGGCTCAAAAATTATTGTAGATCAATAGTAAGACTGAGAATCTTAAACATACATTTCTTACATAATCTTTAACCCCATGAGAGAATCTCATATACAATCTTTGTTTCATAATTACAGAACATTTGGCCTCATTACAGAATCTCTCAGCTAACTAGAGAACATAACAATGGCTGCCATATCCACACCTACCAATATTTTGGCCAGGACTCCAGTCTCCTCAGTGTCCATGGAAATGACAGCTTTATCCGTTTCTATATCACAGAGTACATCTCCCGGAGACACAGGGTCTCCTGAAATAACACATGACACAATTCAGGTTATCTCATGAATACATGCAGCCCCACCTCAGAGTAGAAGAGGCTTTGAGGTTTTGAACAACTTACACTGCACTTGAGTGTAATCCATAAGTGCTACGTTCTTCTTCTATCTGAAGTCTGAGTCTGAAGAAGCTTAGCACAGTGTACAGGCTATGTAGCACCAGCGAGGATCCTAAAATACTTTGGGTAGATGTTTTACTCAAAATTTTGCCCGGGCAGCGCCGTTAGGCTACTCTTTTTTTATTTTCAACTGCCAAGGGATTTTTTTTTACATGCACAACAATGCACACAGGCATCCAATCTCACTACCCAGAGAATAGGGGGAATTACCAGAAGTCCAAGTCCATGTGAAAAAAATCCAAGCCCTTACAGGGGATTTGAACCTGGAACCTCTAGCACTCGAGGCATACACCACAGAGTTAAGGTTAGTTGCGTATCCTTTACAGGACGTTGCAGAACCAACCCCAGCAGAACTTGGCTGTTGTGTGGTTTCTCTAGGCAAATTTAAGTCCAGTAGTTTGCCATTGCTTTCTGGACGGTTGGCCCCCTGATACCACTGTTGAAACTAACGCAAGGCGCATGGCCTGCAGCTGGGATCAAACCCGGCACTCTGGCATTACGAAGCGTTCGCATCGACTTAGCCACAGAGCTGACACACAAGAGAGTAGAAGAGGAAATAATCAACTGGTCGGACATCAAGAGAAGGCAAGGGCAGGACTCAAGCATGCCCTGCCATCCAAGGAGGTTTCCATAAATGTGGAGCCAACACATGGTCCCCAGTAAGGGACAGACTAAACAAGGGTACCTTTACATCGCAGAGTAGAATAGGGAAGATTAAACAAGACTGTAAGGTACTTTACACCCCAGGGTCAAAGAGGGCAGACTAAACAAAACTGTAAAGTACTCTACAATACAGGGTAGAAGATGACAGATTAAACAAGTCTGTAAGGTATATCTACACCCCCAGAATAGAATAGGAAAACCTAACAATGTTATAGACTACGTCTACACCCCTGGTAGAAGAGCCAAGACTGACTGGGAGGTATCTCTAGACTCTTGAGAAGAAGGGGAAAGACTTAAAAGACTAATGTAGCTCGACCTCCGGAACCCATAGAAAGATTAAACATAAATTCGTAGTTAAAGAGTAAAAAAACTATGAATACAAATTACACCCTTGTTTTCATATTTTCTGATAAATATGCATTAATGTATTGACACCTTGTTATTTAAACTAAAGACACCAGATTTCCTACTAAATACAAACTAATGCCACAGGACCTGGTTATTTCAACTAAAAAAGTCAGATTTTCTACTGGATACAAAATAATGTAACATTAAACTAAAGACGTCAGATTTCCTACTGGATACAAAATAATGTAACATTAAACTAAAGACGTCAGATTTCCTACTGGATACAAAATAATGTAACATTAAACTAAAGAGGTCAGATTTCCTACCGGATACAAAATAATGTAACATTAAACTAAAGAGGTCAGATTTCCTTCTTCTTCTTAGAGTTTACACTGTGTGGCGTTGGTAGTCAAGTCTATCCACATCCTTCTGTCTCATGAACTTTCAATCAACTCTGACACAGATGATCTTCCATGCCATGATGTCAAACTATCCAGCATCTGTTCTTGGGTCTTTCTCTGCCTCTCCTCCCCTCCAACTTTCCTATTGTCAGGATGTACTCCAGTTTTCTCCTTCTCATCACATGAACAAAGAATGTAGATTGTCTCTTTCTGATGTGTGCAATCAGTTCTCTTCATAAGCCAGTTTCTTTCAACACATCTTCATTACTCTTTTTATCTGTCCTGGGTATTCTCATAATTCGGCTATTAAACCACACCTCTGCAGATTCCTAATAAGATTTCCTACTGGATACAAAATAATGTAACATTAAACTAACGAGGATAGATTTCCTACTGGATACAAAATAATGTAACATTAAACTAACGAGGATAGATTTCCTACTGGATACAAAATAATGTAACATTAAACTAACGAGGATAGATTTCCTACTGGATACAAAATAATGTAACAAGATGTTGTGATTTAAATTAAATCAGCTAGATTTCTGACTAAATAGAAAAGATTCTTGACCAACCTTCCTTCTTGTGCCACTTGACAATGTTGCCCTTTTCCATGGTAGGAGACAAGGAAGGCATGTTGAGCTTGATCGTGTCTGCAAATGTATAAAAACTGGCATTGAAAACGAATTATAAGAAAACTGATTTATACAGAGTAAAAGCAGAACACATGTTGGCTTAGTTGTTCAGCCATTTGCCTCATGGTCTTTAAGTTGCAGGCTCTCTAGGAATCGTTGTTAGAGCTATGGAGGTTGTGCATCGTTCTTAAGAGGTGGCTAGCCATTGTGCAGAAACAGATCGAGCCATCTGGGCTAAAACCAAGTGTAGTTAAGTGAATTTCCTTTTTTTTTTTTTTTAATATACTTTAAACCTCTTTTGATCATTAACTCATGAAGTACTTACTTATAACTAGTGAGCTAGCAATAATTTTTATATGTTAATTAGGCCCATATTGCAACACATATATTTGAGATATACATACACAGTTGGCCTCACTGCCCTGATTGTAATGATATACAGCTGCTAAGGGATTCCTTAAGAAGCAAAAAAGGTTACTGCCATAAAATATAAACATTTAGTCGTTTCAACTCTTCTTTTTACTGGGATGCAGCTCAGCCTTAATCTTTTATCAGTCTCACTATAATTTGTCTATGATGGTATCCACCACTAAAACGTTAATATCTCCGCTTAGAATTGACTTACAGGTCTCATTGAGGCATTGTTGGATTCTAAATTTTAATCTATATCCAGCTGTAATAGTTTCATATCAATCAGGTGCCGTCTCCACAGTGAAGGTTGGCTGCAATGTAAACCCCAACACTCTGTCTCCTGTCTTGGTTGTACACTCTCTCAGACTGCTGCCCATCCATCTCTTGATGTTGTCCTCCTATTTGTATCATTGGCCCCCTCTTGCCTTTGACCTTTTTCTCCAGTATGATTTTTAAAAGTGTTTGTCTTTTAATGCGGCTAAAGTATTTCAATTATCTCTTATTTCTTTCAGTAATTCTCTTATCATTTTAACATTTCCAGAACCTCTGTATTCAACTGTTTTTATTTCTATGAAATACGACCTGTTCTTCTGTATACCCACATCTCCAAAGACTCGATTTGATTTTCTAGTTGCTTGTTCATTGTCCAAGTTTCTGCAACATACAGCAGAACTGACTATACGTAACACTTTATGATGCTAATTTTTAGTTATTGTTTATCTCTCTAGCTGTCAGTAACATGTGTATCTTATTGAAGACAGTTTTAGCATAAGTAAAAACCCAATATCAACACTAGTTTCATGACAAATATATACTCTGAGATCTTGATGAACACTATAACCCGGGTTGAACTGAATATTTTATGAAAAAATTAACACTACTAGCATATTTTGTGTACATTACTGTAATTATTAAATAGAAAAAAAAAACAGGTAGGTGCAGAAGAAGAGGAAGACATAATATAAGCAATACTACCAAACATATAATAATAATATACCAGATGACAATATCACCCATACATGTACATCATATATGCACCAGTAAGTCCCCCCAACTCCCTTCTTTGCAGGAGGTGGCTCCAGACAAACTGGAGGGGTGATGAGAAAGAAGAAGAAAATTAGGTGAGTTGGAAGATAATAAAAAAGAAGCAGTAATGTCTCTGTCTGGAGTGTTGCACAACAAAGCAAAGCATTAAGTAATTTAACATCAACATAATATCGATGTAGCTTTTTACAAGTGTCAACACTCAACACTGACAGTGAGTGACAACACAAACACTAACAGGCGGCGGACAAACGATCACAACGCACAGATGTTCAGAACTTGATCAACTAC